ATTGCGGCGCGCCTGCTCCTCCGGCGCCGCCTCGCGAAGGGACAGGTTGTCCGCCAGCCGTTTGGTCGTAGCCTCAGCCTCCTCGAGAGCTCGCTCCCGCTCAGCGAGTGCGTCCTCGCGGAGGCGGAGCGCGCACTCCTCCTCGGCGCAGGCGGCCTCGTGCGCCGCCAGCGTCGCCTCCCGGAGAGTAGCGGCGGCCTCGCGGCCCGTCAAGCCTTTCTCCACGGCGCCGGCGTGTTCTTCCAGCGCCATAGCACGGGCCTCAAGGGACTCCTCGCGCCGCCGGGACGCCGCCTCAGTCTCTGTTACCCGCCGCTCTCGGGCAGCGGCGGAGTCAAGGACTCCCTGGGCGGCGTCGAGCTTTTCTTTCAGCTCCGCCTCCCGGCTGGCGTTTTGAAGGCGGAGGGCGTCTTGCGCCTCAATCATCGTGGTGGTAGCGATGAGGGCGGCCGCTCGCTCCTCCTCCACCTCACGAGCGATCTCCGTCAGCGCCGCCTTCCGGGCTTCAAGCTCCGAGACGTGACGGCGGTGAGCTTTACGGCCCACCTCCACCATGGCGTCCACCGAGCGCCGCCCCTCCTCAACGCGTGCCCATGCGGCCTCGAGCTCCGCTCGTTCCGCGCGCAGGGCCTCCACTTGGGCGCTAAACCCATCCAGCACCGCGGTGTTTGCGGCGGCCAAGGCCTGCAGAATGGGCTCGGCGCTCAGCGGGGCGACGGAAGATGAGGAGAAGAGCCGCCTTGGAGAGAAGGCGATGCGGCTCGGCCCCCCCGGAGGACGTGCTGGGCTCGGGGATGTCCCCCGGACCCGTTTGATCCTGGGCGTCGCCCGGGGAGGTGGGCCCAGGCGATGTGCCCGCGGCCTCGTCGCGTGCCTCCCCGGAGGCTGTCGCCTGAGGGTTGCCCGAGGGAGTGGGCCCAGTTGACGCGCCAGCAGCAGCTGTTGCCTCAGCCTGGCGAGCCCGGGCGGCCTCCTCCTTAGCGGCTTCCTCAGCCCGGGCGGCCTCCTCCCGAGCAGCTTCCTCCGCTTGGCGAATCCGGGCGGCCTCCCGGGCGGCCTCTTCAGCTTCCCGAAGGCGGTCTGCGGCTTCACGCCGGTCAGATTCTCGCCTCCGCTCCTCTGCGGCCGCTGGATCTTCGGCCTCGAACTGGCCGGACTTGGGGTGGCGGGAGGAATGCGACGGGACATCGCTGAAGCAGAAGAAAAAAACCAGAAGACGAACAAAATGAGTAAGAAAAAACTTCCTTTTGGGAGAAAGATGGTTGCAATGAGAGTGAGACGAACCTGCGAGGGGGTCGGTTGAATGACCACCTTGGAGGGGAAATCAGGTTTCCCCGGCATGGTTCCGTCTCCCCCGTCTTGCGGAGCCGTTTCTTCTTGCGCTCCCCCTCGGGCTGCGACGTCGGCGCGGCCCCCTCCGGGCGCCGACTGCTGGCACGCGCCGCCCCGCCCCCTCGGGGAGGAGATGGGGGAGGTGTTCCTCCCAGCTTCCTCTTCCCCTGGGCGTCGGCAGGGCGGCTGCTCCCCGAGCCCCCGACGCGGGGCCCAGAAGCACGACCCCCTCCTGGGGCAGATTGTTCCCCCCGGCGGCGCTCGCCCGCGCCGTCGTGGCCCTTAGGGGCTCTCTCCTCTGAGGCCCCGACCCCCATCATAATGGTTAGAATGGAGGCGCGGTCGGGATCGCTGCAGAGGGGGAGGATCTCCTGAGGAATGCGAGACGCCTCCACGGAGCTAAGATTCAGCACCCTTTGGACCACGATCTTGAAGTCCTCGGGAGCCCAATCCCATCTGGCTCCCTGGTGGGTCCGCATGTAGTCTTCAGGCCCAGTGTACTCCCAGGCGCTCCGGGCGCGCCGTTGGAGCGGCGCAATCCGGCGACGGAGGTAATCGCCGTACACCATGGCCCCGGTGAGCCCCTGGGATCGCAGGCCCGCCAGGCGGTCGAGGACGGCGTCGTAGTCCTCCCCCAGATCTACCGGCGCCCGCCAGCTGGAGACCTGCGCCGGGGGCTGACTTGGAAGTCGGAGGCGCGCTTCGTTGGCGAGGGGGGTGTAGAACCAGTCGCTCTTCCAGTCGTCCCACTTCTTGCGAAGGACGCAGGGGATGTAGCGGTTCAACACCGGCCCCCGCGGCTGGAAGTAGCAGCCGCCAACCACCGACGGCGGTGACACCGACTGCACGGTGAAGAACCACCGGAACAGCTGAAGAGAGGGGCGCACCCCAATGAACATCTCGCACAGGTGCGCGAAGATGGCCAATGTCATCACCGCATTGGGGGTGAGGTGCGCCATCTGGAGATCGTAGAACTCCAGGACATCCATGAGGAAAGAAGAAAATGGCGGGACCAGCCCAGCCATTGCGAAGGGGAGGAAGAAGATGGACCGCCCCGGGTAGTCTGGTGCCGGGCGCCCCTCGCCCAGCATCACTATCTCCCGACCGGTGGCGGACTCCGGTATGAAGCGGCGCGGCAGTCCGGCGTGCCTCTCGCTCACGATGCGGGAAGGCGGTAGTACGCTGCCGTCGTGCAGAGCAGAGCCCCGTGCCATGGTGGTGGAGGAAGAGATGATTGAGAACGAGCGCGTGTGGCGAAAGTAGGGCGTAGCAGAGAAAGAGTTAGAGCTCAGGCGGCGAAGGCAAGAGGAACAATGGCGAAAGGAAGGGAGCAAATCCTTTACTCGATGCTTTTATACCCTTGCCATCGCTGGGCCTGGCTCCTCGTTTCTCGCGCCCACTACCTCGCTCCCTCGTATCTCGCTATCTCGCTCCCTCGTTTCCCGTGCCCACGCCTCCACTAATCCCATTCGCCCGCTTACGGCGCATGAAGTGGATATGCGGTTGTGGCAATCGAAATGGATTGTATCGTGCGCGCGTTAATTACGCTCGCCGACCGAAGCGGCGTTACCGTATCTCCGGGCGAGACAAATCTGCTCACCCAGATTCGCGCGCTGCTCAAGTGGTGTGGCAGTCTTGAATAGACCGCCCATTATGGACAACCAAAGTTACCAATACCAATGTGCATGGATTGAGACCGTTGGGTATTTTGCCCAACTACGGAGACCGGTCCCACCTGTCACCAGGCTTTAGGGGTGGCGTCACACCTGACCGCTTCCCTTGGGAAGGGAAATTGCTCTGGCATAACGCCGGGGGCTACTGTCGGTGATATGGGACCGGGAGTATCATGACCAGAGGCTTGAGGCAGACACAATCGCCCACGTGGCCTGGCACCTTCGGGGACGTCGGGCCCGAGGGTGAGGTGTCCGCCCTCCTCCTGATTTCCCCCGAGGGGGGGGGTCGGGTTGCGCTTGCCCCGGCCCCGAGGGCCGAGGCACCCCGACCCCTTAAGGAAGTCTGCGCCACATATATGGGATAAGTGAGCACAGCTGTGCTCACCTAACAGCATTTATTGCAGTCTGGTCAAGCGTGTCACGCTGCATGCAACGCAGTACAGCGCGTTCCTTTATTCGGTCTGTGACCAGTCACAGACCGGTCAGATCACGGGTTAGGTGGCGACTGGCGGTCTGACGCACGCCTTGCCCCATCCCGTCAAGACGAAAGCCTCTAGGCACTCGTCTCAAGCCGGAGCTAGCGTGTTATCTCTTAGAGATGGCACGTTAGCCCTGGTCAGATTTATACCAGGCTTCATCCTAACCATTACAGGCAAGGTGTTACACGAAGAAGGGCAAACATGCACGTTGTTAAGCTGACGCGTGGTGGACAAGAATGACCGGTCTGGCACTGGTCGCGTCATCGACAGACAGCCACGGTCCCGCGTCATCTCTGTCTTCGGGGGAGGTGGGGGTAGGTGTGGGCTGTCCCATCAGAAGGGCTCCCGGATGGAAACCGTACCGATCTCCGCCCATTAAAGAGAAAAAGAACAGTCCAGTTTGGAAAGAGAAAGGTGCATGTGGTATCCCCTTGAGATATAAAAGGAGGACCTTGCCCATTTAGAGGGGGGACTTTTCCCTGGGAGAAGGCTGAGGGGAAAGGAAGTTAATCCTTTGTAACTTGTCCATACACAAATCCACAAAAACACAGGAGTACGGTATTACGCTTCGCAGCGGCCCGAACCTGTATACATCGTCCGTGTCTCGTGTGTCTTGCGGGCGGGTGATCTTTCCACATACAGAGAGATACAGAGAGAGCTTGAGATCTCACCCTAAGCCCCCGGCCGAACTGGCAAAGGGAGGCCTGCGCGGTCTCCCGGTGAGGGGCCACGAGCTCCGTCACGGCTTGAGAGTGTTTGTAGGAAGTTTAATAAACTTTTAGTATATAATAGATTTCAGTTTGTGAAATTTGACTATTGCTACAAATTTGAGTTCAAAATATAGGATTTGAATGCAACAACCAACAAGTGTTTGTTTCTACACATATATTCTTTTTTTTATGAATACTAAAATGTGACTAAGTTTCTACTCCCTCCATCCCCCTATAAGTGCATTTTTTATAGTGAGAGGGAAAAACAAGAGGGAGAGAAAATTACCTAAGCATCCCCTATTAAATAAGAGATGGTATGGAGTGAGAGGATATTTAAAGGTAGGATGGAGATAAATTCAAATTATATGTGATTGATGTAATAAGTAGCATGGTAGAATTACACTTATTTTGGAAAAAAATAAATCTAGAATTTTGGGATGGAGGGAGTACTAACATGGAAAAACCATTGGTGCACATTCACTAGTGGAGTATGCAGTACACGTCCATGTTACTCCAAAATTCATGTGAGACAGGTTTTCAAACTTGGTGGCTCTGCAAGACAGCAACTATAACTATCCCTAAAATTCAATCATAACCAAAGACCTCAGAAAAATAGATCCTAATGTAGTCTTCTTTCTGTTGATGGTAAATCAGAGGAAGGAATTGGTAAAACTTAAAAACAAGATCCTGCATTTTATATAAAAACAGCTGCTAAAGGAATTATTAAAAGTCAACAGTAAGAAAAACACATAGATAAGCCAGGAGGGTATTGGACAAATTTTACATATTCCTACTCTAAAATTCCATATTTACCAATTATTTGCAAGCAATTTGAATATTAAATCTGATGATTCACAATTTCAATTCGGTTTTACAACAGCTCACATTGTCTCATCTCTGGTAATGAGCTAATACAGCATTGACAATCACGAGTGCACGGACACGCGCATTTAGACTGCTTTTGCCCACTTCCTTGGCAGCAAAGTTAACAACGGTGACACATTGACACATTACTTAATACACGATTTCACCTGAATGAAATCAGCATCCAACAACACACGTGCGGACTGCCAACTACACAAGGATAACAAATAGATACTGCAACTCACCTGAACTAGTGATTGCATCTTGATTCTGGGTGAGTATCCCAGCTTAGGTAAGAAAAAGAAAAACACCAATATCCCAAAGGTTAAGTCAAGGGTTGATAAGTCCCTGCAATAGACAAAACATATCAACCATGGGGCACACGACTAAACGAAAAGAGTGGATAGATCACATAGCATCCTTAGTATGCTATATGTGGCAACTGGTACTATGAGGCAGCATCTTCACTTCCATTTGTAGATTCTGCAATTTTTGGGGGGTTAGCCAACTGTTAACAGGACCATAGTAAGGGATGCTTGTGAAGAGCCAAGAAAAAAAAGGTGATAAATACCATGAACAGCTGCCAGATTTTCTTCTTTGTACACTCCAAGAGGTGAGCCACGCACAGATAAGAGCATCTCGCCCTTTTTGGGCAACCTTAAAGTTTTTGGTGTCATACCAAAAGAGAGCCGAGTACTCACAGCCTGCTCAAGATCATATTAAAACATGTAAAGGTAAGCTTAAAAGGAAACACAGAATCGATTCATTCATTTGCTACTCATATATCATTTCAATAAATATGGACAGCGTAAAATGCTACCCCGGGTGTCTGTAAAGCATCTGCAATTCCTGCCAGTTGATCCTCAGGTAGCTCACCCCAAGCCTTGGAAGCAACAGAGGGGTGAGATTAGTAATGACTAGAGAAGAAATAGCTGATATCAATATTCAAAAAGCACTTACAAAGTCATTAAAATTAAAAGGCATGCTCTCAATAAAGCTTTTCCGCACTGCATACATCACACAAGGTAACAAAAACATTTAAAACAGTCATTTATTATTTGATGCCAATAAAGGTATAACCATCAATAGGTAGAGAGCATGCTCGAACCTGAATCCCCTGAGAATTGAACATAACCAACATTTGGTAACGAAGAGACTGAAGCCCGAAAAATCTTGTCATCACAGTGGTCTCCAATTAATCGTTTGTCCCAATCTTCCCGTTTCAACTCAAGCTCATTCTGCTCCTCATTCCGGACAACTGATAAGTTGGGTAAGTTCTCCTGAAAATATTGCAAGGCACATCCCTCTTGTTGCTCCTTGGAAATGTAGGATTCAACCAAACGCAACCGAGAAAGTATACTCTCAATCTCAGCTGCTTGAATAGCTTTAATGGCAGCACTCCGATGTTCATCTATTTATTGTGGGCACTGGATTAGCAGTGGACTCATGATAATCACATTACGCAAATTGACAACAAACCTATACTACTTATTGTTGGTTTATCAAATACTAGGGATAAGCAGGAAGATCAGGTAATGATCTTCAATAATTGGGAGTACTCCCTCAAAAGATGGCATCTTGTGCTGAATAATGCATCCTAAAGCCAATAGATTACGAGTCAATGCTACATTATTGTGTGCTCCAGGTTTTAAGCCTTTTCATTCACATTTGATTGCAATCTTCAGCATTAATTGTAAGATAATGGTAATGCACTGGTTATGCCTTTGAAGAAATTACAGATAACTGGATGGTAAATCCTTGAAAGCTGTCTCGACTCCAAACTCAAATTTCAACACACAATTATAGTTTCTTGTTAGTTTGAGCAATTGCATTCTACAGAGTAGTAATAATGTGATATATGTTTTTAAGAAAATAAGACTGGAACAGGGCTAACTGCTAAAGGGATTGATTATTTTAGCATCTTTAATCAATTTCTTGGGGGGTTATTACTCTTCAAATTCAAAGCACGTTAGAAAAGCTATCACAGAGTACAGAAACAAAGAAATAACCAAACCACAGTCAACAATAGGATGCCGGATGAACAATTTCTTGTATGAGAGGAAGTTGATTAAGCATTTGACCTAAATCGCTCACTTAAGTTGTATGAGCTTGGTAAAGAGAAACTATGCAAGTTTTATTCAAATTATTGATAGTTCAGATATAGAGATCAGGAATACATTACTTAGATTACTACAAGTAAGGAATTACATGTCATCTACCTCAACAAAGAACCAGAAATGATTAGTTTCATCAGAAAGCAATCAGAGAACCAGGACTGGTGGAGTACAAAGTTTGCTCGTTTCTCACACTGGGTACCGAGCAGGTTTGCAAATACCTGGTTGCAACTAATGAGGTAAGGCACCAACTCAATACAAGGGTTAAGACTTGCAAGTCAGCAATTCAGGATTGAATAGGTGGCAGGTAAAAAGGAGCAGTGGATCTGATGGATTGAGATTTGAGGCCTGCCTACTTGAGACGATGCAAGTTTGTTTTCAGTTTTGGCAGTCCCTTTTTCTGTTTAACTCTCTAGTAAATTATGTCTATTTGTTTCATTGCTCTCTGGATTAGCAGGCTTATGTTACCTACACCTTGATAGTCTTTGTTTCCACAAGGGAAAATGAAAGTTATACCATTTCAAAAGAAAAGGGAAAAAAAGTAATTTGATAGTTCACTCTCAAATATGTTCTAGAACATCCAAACTCTACGGCAAAATGAAAGGAAACATCAAAATCAGCAGCCATGGATGTGCTATAAAATCGCATTCCCCTAGATTGGGTGCTTAGCTATAAAATCTGCTATGCTTTTCAAAAGAGATAAGTATCTCCAAACCAGCCATGGAAAATAGTAATTTTCTGCTTCACATGTTGTCAATTGCCATGCAGTTCTTATGATTGTTAGTTCTTGGTTTTTCTGTTCTGATAATTCTCAAGTCAATAGCACACCTCAAATTAGCTATATTTAGTTTACATAATGATCCCTATGTTGTTGTCAGGTCTCCAAAATGGCTCCTAATTTTGGAGGGGAATGAGTTACATTACACTTAAGAAAATCCCTAAAACCTAATTCCCAACAGAACTAAATAATGAGAAACAAGCCATGCGATTCATCTACTATAACACTACACTATTAATCGAAGCATAGCCAAGCAATTATTAATCGACCAACCAAAACGCACAACCAACCAACCAATCTTGCCCCCAACTTACAGTAATTACAAGGCCGGGTCTATAGAATACATAAACAAGGCCAAAAAAAAAAAACCCCTAAAATTCGTGAAAGGGGATGAAGAATAGGGATTAGAGGCGCCGTACATTCCTGGTCGTTGAGCCACCTCAGCCGGTCCCGCAGCGGCGCGTCGGCGGCGGGTGGCTCCGGCGGCTTCTGCTTGGCGGCGACGCCCTTCTTCCTCCTCGGCGGCATCGCGCGCGCGCGCCGGGCCTCCGCTCGTAGTAGTCGGGAAGATCTCGACGACGGAGGGGGAACGGTGGGATTGTGGGGGACTGGAGCGAGCCCCCCTCACCGACAACCCCGGCGGCGGCCCGACGGTTCCCTTCCCCCGAGGTGGCGGAGGGCAGCGGCGGAGGCGGACAGAGGCGCAAGGTCGGCGGATTTCGCCGAGGCCACCGAGCCCCCGGGGCCAAAGGCCAAAGCTTGGTTTGAAGTTTGAACGAAGAGGCGGAAGATTGAAAAGGAAAAAAAGAAATGTCCACTCTACTTCCCTGAATATAGGTTTACAAAAAATTCCACTTGAATCGTGTGATTCCTCTTTACCGAAGAAGCCTGTGCCCAAAATAATCGAGCACGGGCTTTTCTGGTCAAAACGTATCTTGTCTTTATCACTTTATCGTGAGTTTTTTTTCCTTGGTTAACAATACTTGTTGTTTTGCCGATATTTGCGGGTTCATTAATTTTCTTTTTACCTCATAGGGGAAACAAAATCGTTAGGTTACTTAAACGCCGTGGGAATAGCTGAGAATTAGCTCGCCACATCATCAAATTTTTCGGAAACACCCCTCACCTATGGTTAATCAGGTTCTGGAGAACTAGGTGCGCCACTCCATTGTTTTTTTTTTGCAAAAAAAACCCCCGTACTTCCTGTTAATCGTGCGTCGGCTCCCGCCGCTATCGTCCGTTCGATCATGCGCGAGGGACGATCTGGCCGTCCACGTGTCCCAGCGTGGCTGCTCTTCCACCATCATGAGATCGTTGGATCAGGAATTGATGGCCTGGATTTGCCAAGAACCCTAGCCACCAAACAAAACCCTAGCTCTAGCCCATTCCGCCGCCCTCTCGCTCTTTCCGCCGCCCTCTCTGCTGCCTCTGCCCGGCGAGGGGCGGCGCGATGAAGCGCACGATGGACGCGCGGTGGGCGCACATCGTGTACGCGTTGTTGGTGCCGGAGGCGTTCTTCCGCGACCCCGACGGCCGCGACGGCGTCGCCTCTCGCTCTCTCCGCCGCCCTCTCGCTATCTCCGCGGCCACGCTGCTTTCTCTGCCCGGCGAGGGGCGGCGCTATGAAGCACACGACGAACGCGCGGTGGGCGCACATCGTGTGCGCGCTGCTGGTGCCAGAGGTGTTCTTCCGCGACCCCGACGACCACGACGGCGTCGACTGCTTGAGCTATCTCGCTCTCTTCGCTGCCCTCTGGCTCTCTCCGCCAGCGTCACCGCCACGTCATCTTCACCGTTGTCGCCACCTCCCTCTATTCCGCCGGCTCTCCCTATTTCACCTCCGTTGCTGTCTCCTCTGGTGTCACCGTCGCCGCCGCCGCCGCTTGCCTCATGTAGGTAGGTGCCGTCGCCTCACGATCCTTCACCAGTCGTCGCCACGACGAGATCGTTCCTCCCTCCTATTCAGCCGCCACATCTCCCAGCGAGGAGCTCGGGACCACCAGGTCCGGCGACCCCGTCCTCCTTACAGGCGGATCCAGAAACCCGGATGAGGATGACAGCCGTTACCACCCTTTTCTCCTCTTTCATCTTCACATGTTAGAGGATCCCTCTCCATCTTCCTCAGCTCGCTGGCATGGGAGTCGCACATGATAAGGGGTTTCACGGGAGCCGGCAGCGACCACTGCTTCTGTGAGAGGACCGAAGGTGAGGTTGGGGCTTTCTCCCCCTCCTATTGTGCATGCATATTGATGCGATTGGACCCATTGTTTGGCCATATCTTCCTTTACTCACACATTCTGCTTTTGTCGGTATCCAATTCCATCTCTTGATAATTATGGTGTTGTGCTATGTTTGATATTCTAATTTGTATGTTGCACATATAATTTTAATTGCAGATACCACCGCTCAAAATAGTGCATGGCTACCTCGATCTTGGTTTTAATGGCTGCTAACTGTCTTTTTCTGGTTTATTCGATGTGGATGGCATGGGCTTCAAACTAATGGTTGTATGTGTGTTTGTGTTTCTTGCTTTTCCCCCTCCCAATTAGCCAAGTGAGACCTATTGTTTCCCCTACATTTGGATATAGCTTCTCATATATTTCTTCCTGCGGTTAGAGGAAATAGGATGCAGACAACTGAGCAGATTTTCTCCACCATGTTATATCTGAAGAGGCAAATAGGTCTGTACATGATCTCTGCAGGTTATCGACTCTGGGAATACCAACTCAAGTTTGCTTGCCAACAGCATTGTGGAACAAAATACTATATTTATCTGTATATGTTCATTGACTTATTTTTTCCTTGAATTTCAGTTATGCTTATTCATTACAAAAATGTTTGCATCTCCCTTTTCTCTACCGAATAGGCACATTTAAATAAACCATATCTACCATTGATCCATGATGGAAATAATGTATTGAAAGTTCATTTTGTACGCTGCATTTTTTGTTGTTTAAAGGTTATAAATTTCATTACATTAATCATTATCTTGCACTAATATGTTGCAGAAAAATATCCGTTGTTGAGAAGATTTAACACAGGGTCTTATTCCAAGAGGTGTGTTCTGCTGCTGTCAGAAGAAGTATTGCCGATTTATAAGAATTGACTTCTCATACATTCCATCTTAATTTCATATTGAGTAGATCGTTGCCAATGAGCGTGCTATTAAATTGGAGTACTCAAAGTAAGTTTAATAAGCCTCCAGTTTTATTTTTTCCTATCTATGCGTATGATGTGGCAATGTTTCATTTGGCCTAAATAAAGAGAAGGTAGACAGTGATCCAGTTGGACATGGATAATGGAAAATCAAGCTTAATTAGTTACAATCACATAAGCTTAGCCAAAAAGTTGTGGTTATTTGATTGAATCAATTAATTGACCAAACTAAGGCTTATAAGGAGCACACCAACCACATATACTATAACTTAATTTTAGTACAGCAGGACCCACAACTCACCTGTACCATACCATTTAGATATGTCGGTTATCCTAAATATAAAATGTATCCTAAATATAAAATGAGGTCTTAATTCCTTTATTATGTGCAACAGCTATTTGATTCAACAATGCTTCCATTTGATCACAACCAATTGAAGTAGCTTATGTGGATATTTCCTATGGCACAGAATCCTAATGTTAGTGTTTGAAGAGGAAAAAACCAATTTAACTCTTTACCTACCGAAATTAGTAAAGGCAACTGGTATGGTCACTCTACAAAAAGTCAGTCCGTTTTATTGCATTTCACAATTCAACTACACCTAAAATAGCTGAGCCAACCATTTACATAGTTACCCATCCATATTATCGATTAATGTTAGATTTAGTTGATTTCAACTTACAAAGGATGAATTTATCATTTGGTAATAATTAGTTCTTGGGCGAAGTTCCCAAACAACCGGTGTAATCGGGTTCTATTCTTTCCTGTTCACGTTCTCATAAGGTGGTTACACCATTATGCCATGTTATGCCTCCATGCTATGCATCTTCCTGGTACGTGGATCAACTAAAACAACTATTGGTTCCTACATTTGATTTAATCTTTGTATAAATAGCTTGATTTGCATATCCAATGGGTTTTTTGTTGGATGTTAACTTGCACAAAAGAAAAATTATATTTATTCACTGACTGACTGGTTGCTCTGTTGAGTTCCCTATCTTTTGTTGACTATATTGCTAACTGGTGCCTTTTTAGTAGGTCTATATTTTCTTTGCTTACACAGTAAACCCTGCACCGCACTTATCTATCCCTTCTTCCTATTGACAATATCCTTGATCTAATTGGGGTTGTCGATGATATATTTGTGTACTGAATGGTATGGCAGATCATGCTTTGATAAATGATGCTGGCACAATGAAAAGGATAATAGAGCTAAACCTTTTGGTTCTTACGGTGCCCTGGTCATGGCTAAATAAGGGAGTTGGACACACATGTTCATTCTGCCTATTCTAACACCAATGTAATTGGAAATCGACTTTGATTTAATACATCTATGTGCATAAATATATTATGTACATGATTTTTTATTATGCTTAAGCTATTATTGAACGTCAAAGTAAACATGCCTATAGCTATTCACAATGTTGTTCCTACAAATTCAAATTCATCGTCAGCCAGGCGCAGCGTAGCGCGCCTTTATTTCTAGTTATATATTATATGTCCAGTTTGATTCGCATCCTCAAACCATCAAACCAGGTTATAGAGCCTCTTTACTAGTAAATTATAAAATACTCCCTTCATCCAAAAAAAAAATCAATCTCTTCTGATGTAACGAGAAATTAAGTGTGAATTGAGTGCTCAGTAATATTGAGAGTGGTTTGACTGACATGACGCTTATATATCTTGTTGGCTTGATCTTCGTTCTACATGGCGCATACATGGCACCGAGAAAAATAAAAAACAAAAAACAGCAGTCCGGTTAGACAAAAATAAAAACAAATACGTAAGGCCCAAATGTAAGTGAAAGTCCAATTAGACAAGTAACCCAACAAATATGTGGGACTCACGTGAGAGCTGCATGTCATCCAACTCTCAAGCTCTCCTCCCTCTTCCCTTCCCTATCATCCAGCTAGCAGCACCCGATCTAGGACGTGCCATGAGATGAGACCAAGAAAGTAGTGACAGCGAGGTGGAGCTGGAGCTTGATGGGGGAAATGATGTGTCAAGATTGATGAGGATCCCGTGTCATCTGTCTTCGCATCGTCTGTCTTCCTAGCGGCAGTAACCCTTAGGCAAGTGTCATCGGTGAGGGCAGAGACCTAGCGTCATGGACACCATATGGCCAAAAAGGGTGGCCAAGCCCAATACGGCATGGGCCCGTGATGGCACAGCTGATGAAATGAGCTGTGCCTTGCTAACCCATCTGCCCAGGTCAATGCCCATCCCAAATACGCCCTAGCGAGAAGGCAGGCTGTGTCGTCCTGTTTTAGGCAAATGGCCTAGAAGGGCCCATTAGCTCGTATAAGGCTCGGACGATTGCTAAAAAAAAGTTCAGTCATAGATACAACTAGGGTTAGGGTTTTGCTTGCCGCCACCTCCCGTATCCTCCGCCACCGCCACCGACTCTCACATAGTCCGCTACCACTGCCACCAACTCTCACATCGTCCGCTACCACTGCCAACTCCTATATCCTTCGCTGCCGCCTCCAACGCCCACATCCTCTGTCACTGACGCCACCAGCCGCATCCTCTACTGCCAACACCGCCCTGCAAGGCAGCTTGAAGCAAGCTCTGTGGACTGGGTGGAACATTGGGCATCTTGGTTGTGTCGCCCAGCCGCCACTTCCTGTTAGCTCCATGCCCCCGTGGCCTCTTACTCCTCGTCGACGATCTCCACTCTCGCCGGTCACCACCAAAAAGCTTCCTGCCCTCCATTCCTACACTAACAGCCAAGGCTATGTCGTCTCCTCTTCTCTATTCTTGGTGCCTGCCACCACCGCTCGCTACCATGCCACGCGACCCAGTGCGCCATGTCAGCTTGTTACAACGATATCTTGCCAACACGTGGTCCATGGTGGCGGCCCAAGTGTTGATGGTCGTTAGCGATCAGTTTTGACCGTCAATACTACCAAAATAAAGGAGAACTAGTTATGCTTGCAATGCATATTTGTGTTAGAATAATAAATATTTCACTAGCACTAGGATTACTAACCTCTTGCAGAGAATGAACACAAATGGAGGAGAATCAACATCAAAACAGACGATCAATCAATTGGACGATGTCGGGAATTAGACTTATGCATGAATGGGCCAAGAACTCAGAAATGACATGTCGAATTGGGACAAAATTCACAAGTCTGCGAAAGAGATCAAGAAAGGAGGCTGCCAGCCAAAACTTGGGCTGGTTGGGCTGGCCCCTGGTTCGGCCGAACCCGCCGTGGCACCGTTTGATCCAGGGCTAGGATGGACGGTTGAGATGACTCCCCAATGACGGTTGGAGGGTATTACCGACCATTCCAACCGTCATAACTGTCATTCTCAAGCTATATAAAGCCCTCTCATCCTCCATTTCAACACACACCTCAAGCAAGCTCTCTCATACTCTCTCAAGATTAGTTTAATATTCTCAAGCTAGTGGAGTAGGAATAGAATAGAAGTCTGAGTCCGGAAGTCTTCAGAAGAGTTCGGATATGGCTCTAGCAGCTCTCCTTTCTTCTTTTTGTAAGACTTGTACTTTATTTAGAATATTCTTCTGTATACAACTCTAGTATTGTGCTACTTTCTGAGTATATAAATACCAACTTTACTTTATATCTAAGTTATGTTGATTATACTGCTAGCTTATCTGGGAGATGCAATGGTGCGGTATAATGTTTGCTTATGCAATTACTCTATGCCATGACGATGATATTAGAGTAGTATCTGGTAGTTTAGGCGTGGTGTCTAGATTACTGGGTATCATTATTTGGGGTTATATGCTGTGGAAGAGCGGTGGGCCGCTGATAGTGACAGCTCAGTATGGGTATTCCTCCGCGCGAGTATATAATCCTAAGTTAATTTCCTGGGGAGGGTATTCCTCCGTATTTAGCCCCGGTTGAATGGTCATGACGGGCTGCCGTAAGAAACTCGGCAGTCAGGGGTGGCTTCTCGAAGTACCAAGAGGGCATCGGAAATAGGGTATTAGCTAGAGTTAATCTTATAGCGAGGATGTATGTATAATATGTACTTCCTCCGTTTCATATTATAAGACTTTCTAGCATTGCCCACATTCATATATATGTTAATGAATCTAGGCATTTATATGTGTTTGGATTTATTAACATCTATATGAATGTGGGCAATGCTAGAAAGGCTTATAATATGAAACGGAGAGAGTATATTAGAAAGTATAGGAATAGATTCTTTTTCTATTTTCTTTCCACTTAGCTCAGATAATTTAATATGAGAGTGAGTAGTCTTATGCTTGTGTGTCACTCTACCCTCTGCTTATATTAACCCCTGCTTAGACAATGGTTATTACAAGTAATATATAAATTATTAGTATGGTTCTCTCCCTTATAATCTTCCCACGGGATAAACAGATACGATACCCTTGGAATACTCTCGGGTGAAATGCTACAATGGTATATCCATGCGCTTGCGGATAAAATCTGTAACCATAATATACCAGGAGTATTTATGCGCCATTATTAGGAATTATATTTCTAGTAATGTCATTAAGAAATATCGACACCGAGCATAGCACGGCTAGGTGGTACATGCTAGCATAGCCTAACGGGTCGGGGCTGGGTCATTCCTCGACCATGAACAGTTCATACGTGCCTCGGCTGGCATGGGGTGGCTTGGCCTATTTGGCCACCTATAGTGGGTGTTGGGTAGGGATGGCAATTTCCCCCGCGGGGCCAAGTCCCCTGCAGGGACCCGCCCTTACGGGGGCAGGGGTGGGTGTGATTTTTGACCCGCGGGTGCGTCAGGTACAGGGCCCCGCATTTGGGCGGGGAGGGGACGGGGGACTAATTTCACCCGCGGGGCCCCGGGGTACATATAAACTTCAAAATATAGATCAAAGAAGGCCCAAAAAGCCCAACCCACTAAAAAAGTTACTAAACCCTAGCCCATGCACATCCCCTCAGTCTCAGTCTCTCTCCTCCCCACATCCCCTCCCCTCCCGTGAGATAGAAATAGGCGGAGGCGGCTGTGCGCGCTCTGGCCTCTGGATCTCGGTGTCGCTGGCTTCGCCTGCGCCTGCCAGCCGCCAAGCCACCATCTCCCCTCCCCTCCTCTCCAGTCTCCCCTCCGGCATCCGGCGGCTCTAGCTCCACCTCTCCCTTCGGAGTTAGCGGCGGCGGCGGCACACAGGGCGGCAGGCCGGCGGCGGTGCACAGGGCGCGGCAGGAAAGCAGGCGCGGCGAGGTTGCGGCGGCCGGCGAGACAGGCAAGGGTGCGGCGAGGGGACAGGCATGGCCGGCGGTGAGGTTGCAGCGCATAGGCGGCGATTCACAGAGAGTTAGAGGTATTGTTCCATCTCCAAGACTCCAAATGTGCCTTATGATTTGTGAATGAAATTATGAAACTACGCTCGTGATATTTCTGTGTATATTTGGTAGATTTGGTAGATTGTGTTGTATTTTTTGAGCTGATTGGATGGAGATGCTACCCAATGTAGGGCCCCAGTCGGGTTGCGGGGTCCCGCAGGGGTCAGGGGCGGGTGCAGTTTTCAACCCGCATCCATGGTCGGGGCCGGGGGCGGGGGGGGGGGGGGGGGGGGAAGTGAAGTCGGGGGTCGGGGTCGGGGGCGTTCCAGCCCAACCCAGCCCCGCCCCGCCCCGTTGTCATCCCTAGTGTTGGGGTGGCTAGACTGGTGTGGCTACAGGCAGCTGATCTGGAGATGTTGCATGAAGAGCACAGGGTTTTTACGTACCCCCGTCCTCGCCCACGGTGCTGGATTCCCCACTAGGCGGACGGACACAGCAAAACTTTCATTTATGCTCATGCCGCCATCAAAATTAACAATCGTTGTAGTTTTTCTGTGAAAATATGATCCAGTTCATCTATAAATATTCCTAGATTAATAGAACTAAGCCCTGCAAAAAAAATAATAAAACTAGGAAAAATTTACTACAAGACATCCAAAAAAAAGTGTAATAAGCTAGGGGACACCATAAGAACATGTATTTGCTGTAAGACATCGCAAAAATCTGGTAATTAGCTGCTGGACACCCGCGTCATTATTTTATTATTTTCGGAGGAATAGGAAAGAGAAACAATCATTAAAGACAAGTTTGCCCTTGGCTCAAATGAATCTAATATGGGCCCCACATCCAGCAGCACCTTCACTGCAAGCCTCGCCGTCGTTGGCTCCCGCACAGCCGCCACATTCCTCGCCACGACGGCGACCGACGCTGCCCAACCGTGCCGGCACAACCTCTCCTCCAGCTCTGGCGCCACCTCCGTTGCATCGTGACGGCCTTGGCCCTTGCGCATGACTGTGCAGCGCCGCCCCAGCCGAGGTGCCGCACCAGCCCACGCTGTCGCCGGTGCTCTCCCTCTCCCTCGGTGTCGGTGTCATGGGGCCGGGGGTATCGTGACT